ATCATCAATACAACATCACAACAACATAGTTCATGATAACTAATCAATTCCAAACATACTCAACATAATACACAACATCATTCAACCAATAATCTTCATTTTCAACACAATCAACAACATGCATCAATTTCCTATACTACCAATATCAATTCATACTTAATAATTTACTTATAAAATAACACTAGCTTCTCTTACCGGTTAGAAACTCCAACTGGCTCTAGAGAACCCTACTATGCTCCCTCAACTCAAAGAAACCAAACAATACTTACGGACCATGAAAACATGATCAAAATACACCATTAGAACCATTAATCAGTATAGAACCTAAGAGAAAGCTCAAACCATACATGTGATATAGAGAAACCTCACATGCATTAAAGAACGTGAAACTAGAGAAAAGGGTAAAAAATTTACTTATTCTATTTGAGAAACTGATCGGATAGACTTGAAGATCTCGCCGTAAGAATCTCACAAAAAATTGTCTGATCCTTAAACAAATGAATAAAGTGCACGAACCTTTAGAGAGAAGACAAAAGACTCTAAAAAAGTAATTTCAAGAGAAATGATATGTTTTAAAATAAGGAAACTGGTTCCTAACAATTCCATTTATATTAAAACATTTTAATATTAAAATAATAGAGTCTTATTATTTTTAACTCACTACCAATTCTAAAATACCATTTTTGAGGTTTTCACATATTAAGGGTATTCGTGATCACTTTTAATTCATGATAATAAGAAAAAATAGAAAATAAGAATAAAATGAATAATTTTTATAACTTTATTAATTGTGCATATATATATATATATATATATATATACGTGTGTGTATATATAATGAAAAAAAGTAAAAAATATAAAAAATAAGTATAAAATGAATAGTTTTTATGCAGGTAGGTTTTTTAGATGTAATCATTGAATTTAAAAAAAAAACAGTTTCAAAATCGTAAAGCAATAAAATTATTTATATAGATGAGGGTAAAACTTGTAGTAAAATCTATATACCAAAATAATTATAAAAGTGAATCTCATTAGAATAGTTATAGATATATAATAATATTGTAATATAAATAATTAATATTTTAAAATTAAGTTTTAATTATTATTAATAATAAAGTAATTTAATAAATTAATTTAATAAATAATAAGTGTAACATCCCAAAATATAGTAATGACCATAAATTAGAATTAATCACATTACATAATTAAACAGTGCAGCCTTAAATCAAGAGTCAGCTATCAAAAGCCGAACGTCACAAATACAGAGTTAATAAGTTAAAACAGAAGCAACAAAGGTTCAGGACGAACGGTTTTACAAAACCAATAACCGAACGTCATAAAATTTTAAGGACGCCTAACTCTACTGGACGATCTAAGTCTCGGCTTTCACTTCGACGTCCACAAGATTCTCTTCTTCCACCACTTCTTCCAAAAGAGTGTCTCCTTCTGCTCACATCCACACGGATGATCATTGCATTGACAGGACAGACGTACAGATACAAAACAACACAAGGAAAGAACACAGGGTAAGCTTATATAATTTAATTCATGCGTCAATCATACAAATCAACATACCAACATTACAAGGATATCTCAACATAGAAATAACCATACAAAACTCTCATAAGACAGACCGTCCGGACTGTATGAATCCATGTATCTACAGGCGTTCGTGCACCCGGGTGATGTGATAACTGGGAAACACTCAACAGCTGCCACCCGAGGTTAGCCCTATCAGTCCAAAGTACTCATAAGGACTAGGACCTCCTACCGTTCCCACACATGACCTACTCTCCTCTACGTGAGGACGAGCACTCACGGAATATCAGGATGAACTGCCATTAGTAGCTTTACCACGGTCATACTATACAACTTTCCATATTCAAATCATAGAGTCGTTCCTCCTTGGAACGCTCGTTCAAAATCCACCATCACTTATTCATCTCATATACTGTTCATTAATTAAAATATTTCACTTTATTTTCATTTTCATCTTCCAATCCAAGTTCATAAAATAACGAACGTTCAGTCCTCTTCATAATGAGGACGAACGGGAGAAAAAAGGACGATAACCTTTGTTCCAGAATCGAATGAATTTGACTACCAATAAGCATCACTTTTGACGAACGTTACTTATCATTGGAATCAGTTGAATGAACTAACTCTCGGAAACTTATATCAATATATCAATACTCAAAGAATAATTTAAGTACATGACTCTAGGCCGGATCAATTGGATAAAACCACCACAAGACGATTTCAGAACCATAACGGATTTAATTATAATATCGAGACCGACTGCCAGTCTATGACCGAACGCGGGAAGAGAATTTTACTAAAATTGAACGTACGCTATTTACACACGTATAATATTTAAAGACCAATTCGAACGTTCGGTATAAGACCGAACACTACTTATGACGTACGTTGAGTGTAAGACTGAGCGCTATACAGAACGTACGCTTGGTGTAAGACCGAGCGCTATACAGAACGTACGCTTGGTGTAAGACCGAGCACTATACAGAACGTACGCTTGGTGTAAGACCGATCACTATACAGAACGTTACAAATCTTTAAAGTACAAGGTACATAGATATTACTTTATTTCAAATATTAAGTACAACTGTTATGAGCCGAACGCTCCAAGATTATTATTTCCACATGAGAACGCTCGTTCTCGATCAGAGTTCCTTCCAAATGAAGGAGTTCCACTTTAATCAGATTACTGAAAAACCGAACGGTAGGAGACCATTCGATGGCAAACATATACAATCATAGTAAAAGTTCATATTCAATTTCATAAATATTTTCAACTTAAGGTTTCCACATACCAGTTCATACTTTATACTTCATCTAAAATTATAAATCCTCCAACTTTACAGTATCCACATCCATAATTTATACTTCAGATTTATAAATCATTTTCATATTCATACAATTCATACGTATCAACCATCATACATTATTCTCATACTGTATACACCCATTCACTCATTCAGCAATATATACATTCATTTTCAGCAAGCATACAATCAACATACGAATTAAATTAATAAGCTTCCCTTACCTCTAACGTGAACGGACGTCCTACAGTTTGCAACTTGACTTGTGAACTAAAATCCCTGCTACCCTCAACGCTCACTACCGTTCGAACCAACATCAACGACAGATGAAAAAGAGGTTCAGTATCTAACTTAAGAACTCATGCACCCAGAGTGCGGTGTGCATGTTCACCAGAACGAACAGTGGAAGGAAGATGAACTTACCGGTTTCAGAACTCTAAAACGTTCGGTTCAAATGAAAGCTCAGGACGACGACAATCCTTCTACGGTGCCTGAACAGTGGTCGGAGCAAAGTAGAGTGAGTTGCAGTAGAGAGAAGTGAAGGGTTTTCTAGAGAGAAGGAGGAGAAAAATGGAGGTCAGAGTTTTGGAAGGTGAAGGTGCATGCAGAAGAGTGTGGCAGATTTTTAAGAAGATTAATTTTGTTTGCCCCACGCCCAGACGGTCGTGCATTCTTCTGCTGACACCTGCACTCCATTAACTGACTTCAGAACATTCCTTCGTGACACTTGGCGAGAAAACAGAGAGAATGGAAGTGCGTTTTTAATGCACTGCAGAGGGGTTTTGGGAATAATTAAAGGGGATGTGATAGGTGATTAATGGTGTTCATTTTCCAAGGTCTTACATTCCCCCTAACTACAAAAATTTTCGTCCTTGAAAATTAAAACTTACCAGGAAATAAGTGAGGATATAAATCTTTCACAGCCTCTTCCACTTCCCATGTAGAGTCGCCAGTCCTTTCATTCCACACCACTTTCACTAAACGAACGTCCTTTCCACGATAGTACTTGGTGCGGCCATCTTCCACACGGACAGGTTGCATTTCCAGCGTCCGGTCTTGATTAAGACGAACGTCTTCCAACTCTAGTATGTGCGAGGGATTAGCTATGTACTTCCGAAGTTGGGAAACGTGGAAGACTGGATGAAGGTTGGATAGTTGAGGAAGACCTGTGGTTTGCGAAGAGACCTGTGGTGCTTTAGAATTGGTATCCAGAGCTAAGGTTTGCGAAGAGACCTGTGGTGCTTTAGAATCACAAATACGGTGCGGCTAGTCCATGGTTGAAGCAAGAAGAAGAAAAGTTGATTGTTAAGACTTGAGTTCTTGAAGATTAAGTGTTTGAAGAATGGCAGAGAGCGATATCTCAACATATAATCTTCTAATACTCAGAGAAGAACTAGAATAGATGGGGCACTCAAATGAAAGTGTTGTTCAAGTTTCAAGATGTGAGTGACGTTATTGAAGGAGATGACCGAGAGCTTGGTCTTGGTGCTACAGAAGATTAGAAAGCTGTGATCAGAAAAATGGAAAACAAGGCACTATTCATCATTCATCAATGTGTTGACGATGCACATTTCAAGAAGATTTAGAATGTAAGTACTGCCAGAGAAGGCTGTAGTATACTTGTTCGTTGTCATGCAGGAGGGGAGAGGATTAAGAAAGTGAAGCTTTAAACCCTTAGAAGGCAGTATGAGTTACTGCAAATGGAGGACATCGATCAGTTTGGTGAGTATTTCAACAAATACTGACCATAACGAATCAAATGAAAGGGTGCGGGGAATCCATCAATGATCTGATGATCATGGAGAGAATTATGAGATCGTTACCACGGAAGTTTGACTATATAGTTGTTGCAATAGAAAAGTCTAAAGATCTTTCAAAGATGAAGATTGAAGAGCTTCAAAGTTCACTAGAAGCCCATAAAATGAGGATGATTGATAGGAATCCAGTCAACAACGATGAACAGGTCTTGAAAGTGCACCATTCAAGAAATGATGAGAAGAAAAAGTCAAAGAAGTGGAAAGGGAAACATACAAAAGGGAGTTGGAAGGATTATAAGACTAAGGATGATAAGTTTGTATCAGTGGAGAAAGATGGAAGAGCAGAGAAGAATTATCCAAAGAAGTATAAAATAAGTATCGAATGCTTCAACAGTCACAAGTATGGACATTTCGCATATGAGTGTTATGCGGAGAAAGGGAAACAAAAGAAACATCAAGGAAAAGAAGCGCATGTTGCTCAGGAGGATTCAAATTCAGAACTGCTAACCTTGATGGTGACTACTTCGGTTGAAAGCTCTAGTTCTCATGCTGACTTATGGTTCCTAGACTCTGGGTGCTCAAACCATATGACGTGCCATCAAGAATGGCTAATTAATTTTGATGCCATGAAGAAGAGTAAAGTAAAGTTTGTAGATGACAGTACTCTGAAGGTGGAGGGCATGGGAAATGTTGTGATTCGAAGGAAGAATAGCTCGCATGCTATGATCACTGGCGTGCTTCTTGTTCCTGACATGAAGTGCAATCTGTTAACCGTTGGACAGTTGATCCAAAGAGGGTTTAAAGTGGTGATGGAAGATAACAAGGTCGAGCTATTTGATGGTGACAAGAATTTAATCTTGAGAAGCAAGATTTCCAAGAACAGAACATTTCAGATTAGCCTGGAAGCGGTAGAAAGTTCTGAGTGCATGACTTTAGTGAAGAATAGTGATGAGAGCTGGCTATGGCACCTGAGGTATGGTCATCTGAATTTCAAGAGTTTGCAGCAACTCAGTATGAAGGAAATTGTTTCTGGCCTGCCCGAAATCATCTTGCCAGAGGAGGTTTGCGAAACCTGTATGGTTGTAAACAGACGAGGAAATCTTTTAAAACCCACTTAAGAATGAGAGCAAAGGACTGTCTAGGAGTAGTACATTCAGACATTTGTGGTCCAATTGAGGTGCCTACAGTTGCTGGAAATAGGTACTTCATCACATTCATTGATGAATATAGTAGGATGATCTGGGTGTATTTGATTAAAGTGAAGGGTGACACATTGGAAATCTTCATATGATTTAAGGCACATGTTGAAAGGGAAAGTGGTAGACAGCTGAAGATACTTAAGATAGACGGGGGAGGAGAATATACCTTTGCCGCTTTCGAGAGTCATTGCCAGATGCATGGGATCACTCATGAGATCACCGCTCCATACATTCCTCAGCATAACGGGCTTGCAAAAAGGAGGAACTGAACGATTCTCAACATGGCTAGAAGCATGTTGAAGGAGAAGGCGTTGCCACGAAAGTTGTGTGGCGAGGCAGTGTCCACAGCTGCTCACTTGCTTAACAGGTGTCCAACGAAGAAGCTAGAGGGAAATGTGCCACTTAAGGCGTGAACAGGTGAGAGGCCGACAATTGGCCATTTGAAAGTGTTTGGCTCACTCACATTCGTGCATGTCTCGGATCAGAAGAGATCAAAGTTGGAGGATAGAAGTAGGGCGATGTTGTTCATTGGTTATCACCCCACTGGTGCTTACAAACTCTTCGATCCAGTTGAAGAGAAAGTTACCTTGAGCAGAGACATGGTGGTTCTAGAAGACAAAAGTTGGGATTGGAATTAGAACCACACCAGTCTAGTGGAGACCAAGATAGTGGAGGATGCTGATAACTCTATCTCAACAGAGTCAGAAACGACATTGGGAGACAGGAGGCGAGTGCCAAATAGTGAAACTGGCAGACCACGAAGACAGCGAGTGCAACCACATAGATTTGGTGAGTGTGAAGTTTACTCAGATGCACAAATCGGTAATGAAGGGGATTTGGTTCACATGGATTTGCTGGCTAGAGCAGAACCTATAGATGAAGTTGAGGCATTGAAAGAACCGGTGTGGGGAAATGCGAGGAGAGAAGAGATCGAATCCATTGAAAAAAATGGAACATGGCGACTTGTTAATCTTCTAGCTGGGAAGAAGAGTATTGAAGTGAAGTGGGTGTTCAAACGCAAGCTAAAGCCTGATGGACCAGTCTCCAAGTACAAAGCCAGACTGGTGGCAAAGGGCTTCCTCTAGAGGCAAGGCTTAGATTTCACTGAGGTGTTTGCACCAGTTGCAAGGACGGAGACTATTCAATTGGTAGTAGCTGTGGCATGCGCAAGGTGCTAGTCTTTGTTCTAGCTCGATGTGAAGTCCGCCTTTCTACATGGTCCATTGGAAGAAGAAGTATATGTACAACAGCCACCTGGGTTTGTTGACAAAGGTAGAAAACACCAGGTGTACAAGCTGCAAAAGGCATTATATGGATTGAGACAAGCTCCTAGGACATGGAATAAGCGCATCGACTCGTTCCTACTGAAGCTCAATTTTACCAAATGTGTGGTTGAACACGGTGTTTACCTAAAATGGGGTGAAGGAGAGGACTTGTTGATCATCTGCTTGTACATGGATGATTTGCTCATCACTGGATCAAATCCAAAATGTATAGACGAGTTGAAGAGGGTTATACAGTCAGAGTTTGAGATGACTGACTTGGGAAAGTTGAGCTACT